TCTCCCAACCATTTCTTCTATTAACTGTGCTCAAGCTCGGTTTACACCATCAAACTGTCTGTGATCAAATTAGGAATTTTACATACAGTACATGTACACAAATTCTAAGTTTTCAAGGATATAATAATTAGCATATAATCAAGGATAAAATATTAGCATGTCATATATTATTAATATATATATTATAATTATAATATTATATAAGGTTTACATCTCTTCTTAACAGTTAACATTAATCAGTCCTTCAAATCTTTGAATATACAAAGTTCATTTCAGTACATGTTAAGTGTGAAAGATAAAAATATTTTGAAACTGTAATATAAGTATTGTTATGGTTAAGAACATTTGATGAGATCGATTCAAATTTTGTTTGAATAAAGTTATTATTGTTATATTGGATACTATATTATATGAATATTTTGAATATTACAAACTTTTTTAAGTACTGGTGCAAGTAAATAAAAATTTGTCAATTTTCTAAACACTGGCACTTCATCATGGAACCCAGATGCTCAAAAGGACCAATACAATATTTTAGTTGATTTCTCCATTTTTTCTCTCTTGATATTCCAAATAAATCAAATAAACCTAAAATAAATAAAATTGGTACTGTTAATCAATACTATGTCATAATAACAATACAACATGCATTGCAACTATAAATGAAAGTTGTATTTGATTTATTATGTCACAAAGTGTTTAACACATTTTATAATATAGCATTTGTAAATTCTGAATGCTGATTGGCTAAGCACGGCGTTGATACAACTCAATGTCAACATGGAAACGTCGGAAAATTTATTTATATTTCTTTGTGCTATGTGTATTATAAAACAAATATAAAACATTTTTTCCGTATTGATATATAGTTATATCAACAGTTGTGTTATATATTGTTATATCGACACTCGAAATTGTGTGAAAACACTCCGCCCTTCGGACGTCGTGTTTCCACACAACTTCTCGTTTTCCCAATTTCCACTTGTGTTGATATAACTGTATATCAACACGGAAAATGTTTTATATTTGTTAAATATTGCATATCACATATCCCTCCATGGGCAGGAAGCCTTGGTCTCATGAGTCAATAGTCTTTCATCTGGATTTATGAGAGCAAGGCTCCCATGCCAAAAAGGTATTGTGACAGTCTAGTTAGACTACTGAACTACCTGCCTACCTACCTCTTTCTACCAACCTACCTCCTTACCTACATTTGCACGTACTACCTACCTATCTATCTATCTATCTATCTATCTATCAGCTAATGGGTTAATAGAAACCTGAGCAGTTAATACAATTACTGCAGCACTCTGTGAATATTGCATGTAAAATTCATTATTTAACCCTTTGGTAACTGGAGTTTTCCTTCGACAAGTAAAATCATATGTTCCAGACTAACATACCAAAATGGTCACAATGGTAGTGTAAGAGTTAATGCTTCAAAAGGACCAGGACAATATTTTAGTTGATTTCTCCATATTTTTATCCTATTCAAATTTGTGGTAAGCCAAATAAATCTAAAATAAATAAAATTAACAATCAATACTGTGTGTAATAACCTGCATTACTAGAATTGAAAGTTGTATTTGATATATTATAAAGGTCATAGTTGACACACTATTGCATTTATACATATCCCGGCCTCCATGGACAGGAAGCCTTGCTGTCATGAATTGTGTGCAAATGGTCATTCATGTGGATTCATAAATCATCCCATGCCAAGAAAGTATTTCTGACATAGTTATCAAAAGAGTCTAACGGATGAGGTCGGGAATCTTCGAGTTAACCCCTTCGAGTTAAGCCCCTCGAGTTAAGCCCCGACCACGCCCTGTTTTGCCATGACCACGCCCTTTTTCAAAAAGGGCTTAACTCGAAGAACGAAACACGATTTGGGTTGTTCGAGTTAAGCCCCGGGGCTTAACTCGAAGTTTGACAAAAAAGTTGTTGCTTGAGTTAAGGCCCCGACTTTTGAAGTATGTCAACGAATGCAATATTAAATTGTCAAATTTTCAATACAAAAAAGCCAAAACACAGAAATTCTCCCGAAAAAAACTTATAAATCGCTAATGTAATACGATTATCAAAAACAATCACAACTATTATGGTTAACAATATTTTAGGTTCTTCATATTAAATTAATATTTAATTGAACAACAAGTAATTACATTTAGTGTATCGTTTTATCCATGCGCAAAACAACAAAACAATATTTTAATTATAAAGTAGATAGAATCCTAACTCTAACTGGTTCCTTTAGTTTCAATGTGCACAATATCGACAAATTAACAGTTTTACTGTGACAGAAAAGGTGCAACCTTCTCCCATCACCTTGAACAAAACTAATCTATTAAGAAAATGATCGAAAATGACATCACGTAATAACTAAAGAAAAAGGGAGGAAAGGGAAGGAATTTCGGTATAGAATGATCTGTCTTTGTCAACTGGCGCCCAGAGACTCGCGCCTCATATGCACATGTACAGTAATTTTATTAGCCAAATGGTTACGAATCATGAATGGTTTCATTTGAGTAAACAAATTATCACGGGGAGAAATTGTTACATTTGAGTAAAATACCCAAATGTCACAATTTATCCCCGTAATAATGGCGCTACGTTGACTAGTAAAAGGGAATATTTGCAGAGCGATTAGTAATTATCACTTATTTACTGAGACCGAGGGAAACAGTGTGTTTTGTGGACCCAAGACCGCCGAAACTCATGGTTGACACACATGCGTATTGCACCCATTTTATTATTGACTGGTCAATATATGTTTCATTGCGGACCGGTTGCCGAACATGATGTTTTGTGGACAGGCAGGTGACACGGTTTTGAACAATCGGCAAACAGAAAAATTGAACTTTGACACTAACTATAGAACAATTTTATTAACTAAATGGTGACGTAGCGCCATTATTACCGGGATAAATTGTTACATTTGGGTATTTTACTCAAATTTAACAATTTCTCCCCGTTATAATTTGTTTACCCAAATAAAACCATTCGTGATTCATAACCATTTGCGCGCGAGTCTCTGGGCGCAAGTTGTCAAAGACCAGCCAGCCGGAAAATTTAGTCCCGCTATGCAAATTCAAAATCATTATTCATTTCTTTAGAAATTGATTGTTTCCATAGTAAATGAACACGGAAATATTTGCATAGCGGAACTAAATCGTCGGGATGGCTACGCTACTGAAGACAGATCATTCTATACCGAAATTCCTTCCCTTTCCTCCCTTTTCCTTTAGTTATTACGTGCTGTCATTTTCGATCATTTTCTTAATAGATTAGTTTTGTTCAAGGTGATGGGAGAAGGTTGCACCTTTTCTGTTACAGTAAAACTGTTAATTTGTCGATATTGTGCACATTGAAACTAAAGGAACCAGTTAGAGTTAGGATTCTATCTACTTTATAATTAAAATATTGTTTTGTTGTTTTGTTGCGCATGGATAAACGATCCACTAAATGTAATTACTTGTTGTTCAATTTAATATTAATTTAATATGAAAAACCTAAAATATTGTTAATGATAATAGTTGTGATTGTTTTTGATAATCGTATTACATTAGCGATTTATAAGTTCTTTTCGGGAGAATTTCTGTGTTTTAGCTTTTTTGTATTGAAAATTTGACAATTTAATATTGCATTCGTTGACATACTTCAAAAGTCGGGGCTTAACTCGAGCAACATCTTTTTTGTCAAACTTCGAGTTAAGCCCCGGGGCTTAACTCGAACAACCCAAATCGTGTTTTGTTCTTCGAGTTAAGCCCTTTTTGAAAAGGGCGTGGCCATGGCAAAACAGGGCGTGGTCGGGGCTTAACTCGAAAAGGGCTTAACTCGAGGGGCTTAACTCGAAGGGAGTATTTCATATCCAGAAAATCTTGAATATCTCTTGAACTCCTCGGAATTCCCCACAAGTCAATCGAGTGAAATACTCCTTTTATTCAAGCGCTTTCGTGTGGAAAATTTCGTTTGAATACGGCCAGTAGAAATATATTTATTTTGATTTTTCAAAATATCGGGTTTTTACCGGTTTTTACTCGCACGCACCCGCCACACGCTAAAATTGGCCAATAAGGAGCACCCGTAGCCCGATGCATGTGCAAATCACGCTGCAGGTGTAATTTGACCTTTAGAATCGATTTCCGACGTTTCCCGAGCGATAGGATTTAACAACGCAATGTTTTGGCAGATCTAAAGTGTATTTCCGGTCGAATCGCTGTCGAAGCTCTCGCGTAAAATTTAGATATTTTGAAATTCCGAAATAAAAGATGCAAATCTGTTGATACAAGCTTGAAAATAACACTCTAAATAGTGTTTTGGATTGTGATTCGAACAAGACTATTATGAAAAAGATATCTTGAAAGGGGCCGAAGTTATGTTCGGCGAAAGATATGCCTTTGTGGTACATTTTATTACATTCTTACATTTTTCGGGAATATTGTGTAATCTAGTGAAATATGACACCGCTTGCCCTCTAAAGGTCGTAAATCACTATAATGTTGACATTTTATTATATCTATCGATAGGAATTTTTTCACTGAATCGAATGGTGTTATTTTCATCTATATAGCATGCACTGAACCGAAAATATGAACCTGCAAAATACCAGGTCGGTTTCAACCTGGTTATTTCAGCACCAAACGAAAAAGAGTTAAGGACCATTGATTCGGTCATTCATTCATTCATTCATTCATTCATTACTTACCTATTTATTAAAGTGAATTATTTACCTATTGATTGTTAATGTTAATGGTAAATTCATTCTACTGTGCCAGCCCTTTGGGAGGGTTATATAACTTTAGTTAATAGTTGCGTAACCCAGTTACATCACCTCGGTACATTGTCAACATTTCTGTGTACTTTGTCGTTCATAACACTCTACTTTACATTAATTTAATAAACAATGCCATTCTGATTTTAGGAAATATCAAGTGAAAGCATATTGTGCAAAAAGATGGAAACGTTGGTTCTTTCACCGCATGAGGCGCAGTTTGTACATGCCCGATAACGAAAGTAGCAGCGAGACATCGGGGTCTGAGGTGACTGTTGGCGATATGTCCACTCAACGTAATGCTCTCAACCACTTTCTTGTAGTGTCGGGTATTGACGCTATCACACAGTCTAAAAAGATGTTTAGTGAGCTGCAGCCTCGTACACAAAACACCCATGTTACCAAGGCATGTGAGGCTGTTGCTGCGCTACTTGAAATTATTGCGCCTGGCAATGCAGGAGCTCTATGGGAGGCCACAAAAAAATCAAAATTCGTCGATAAAGTACTAGAAATCGACGAGCTGGACAACACAGAAAATATCTACCTCCAAGCACTAGCGGAGACATATGAGCACGCTACTGGCTGGGATACTCGTTGACAGATTCTCTCTATAATGGCGGACCTAGTTCCTTTCTCTACACTCCAAAAATACCTACCAGGGATTAAAAACACTGAGTCAAGACAGCGCGCCACCATAAGGAATTGTACGGACATGGAGCACCAATACTGGAAACAAGTTCTACTAGGATGCGTGTCAGTCCAGTACAACTAGACCATTTCTTAACGTTTATCACCAGCCCACACATCATACAGGATCTTCCATTTGGTCAGCGCAATCTCCAGTTGTCAAATGGTCAAGTCATTGAAACACCCAATGTTATACGGACTATGATTAAACAGCGTACCATCATGCAGTATGTTCAATACTGTGAGGATTTTAAACCATTTAGTACCTTGACGATGAACCATATCCTCACATCTTGTTCAGCATCTGTCAGAAAGTCTCTTCAGGGATTAGATTATATATCTGCAGAAGGTGGAACAGGATTTGATGATCTTGCAACAATCACAGACAAGCTCATCGACTATGGTCTTGATCCCTGCAATGGTCAGAAACTTCAAAAGGCACTGAAGGAGGGAAAACAATACCTCAAAACCGATTTTAAGGTAAAATTATGATACATATCGTATTTACTTGAATAAGCGCTATGGCGTTTATTAAATTTTTCGCGGCACCCATACAGCGCTTATATTCAGGTGCAGCGTTTAATCAGATGAATTGCTTATTCGAGTATACGTTATTTGATGTTGGTCTTTACAATCTTATTAGACGAATGATTTTTCTCTAGTCTCCATTAAATGCTTAGCAGTGCTATAAATGAAAATGTTATCGCCGATCATATGCTTATGCACACAATCTGTTTACAACCACAAACACTCAACACCCAAGGTTTTCGAAATCAAAGTATTATCATTTTTATTTCAGGTTCATGTAGCTCAGACGTCTAGTACAGCTGATCATTGCCTTTCATTAGCCCTAAGCGATTCCAAGGAAAAAAGGCTACATGAGCCTTGTGATCACCCCCATGACAAGTCTTGCCAATCCTGCGAGCAGTTGAAAACCCTGAATGAACTAAAAGACCAAACTAAAATTTTGGCAGACAAAGACGATGATTTGCTTTATTGCTACCAACAGGCAGCTCAAGCCATTGAAAGCTGGAAGTCTCATCTGCTTCGATCTGTGCAGCAAGACAAAGCCCGTACTGATATCCTGGAACTTCTAGATGAAAGTTCTGTACTGATAACTCAAGATTGGGCCATGAAATTCCTACCGCAAAAGTTCTGAGAAACCCAAGCTGACTGGTTTGGAAAGCGGGGAATTTCATGGCACATATCTGTGGTTGTATGCAAAGTCCAACGTAACCTGCAACACCGGACTTTAGTCCACATCGTAAAGAACTCCCCTCAAGAGCGTGACACAGTAATATGGATTATGGAACATGTTCTGGCAACCTTGAAATTAGAGCACCCCGAGATATCAACTGCCTATTTTCGCCAAGACAATTGGTTGTTACCACAGCGTGGCCTTACTTTGTGCATGTCCTGAGATATCTAAGCACACAGGTATCCACATCAAAAGGGTCGACTTCAGCGATCCTCAAGAAGGAAAAGGCGCCTGCGACCGCAAAGCAGCCACTGTCAAAGGACATGTGAGAAGGTACATTAACGAAGGACATGATGTGGCAACTACTGAAGGTTTTAAGGATGCAATAATCTCATGGTGGGATACATGGAGTACGAGTAGCACTTGTAGATGATGCAGATTGTGAGATCTCAGTCGTGGGCAAATGGGATGGTATTAGCACTTTGAATAATTTTTCATTTGACAAAGATGGCAAGAGCATTACCGTGTGGAAGTCGTATGATGTTGGTGAAGGTAGAAAAGTAAAGTGGAGTAAGCTTCCAGGTATGTTATATTTGAGGTTTGTTGGAAAATCATGTTGTCCTGAATCATTTATTCATTTGTCATTAATTAATTATGCAGTAATTGTAATCATTCATTGACACTTTTCTTCGTTCTTTTAATTCCTTTATCCGTTCATCCATTTAAGCCGGTTTTCCACTTCGCCCGTATCGTAGCGAAACATACTGGTGAGCATGCGCAGATTGAAAAGAGGTTTATAAATCCACATACTTCCGGGTGTATTCGCGTATCAAAATAAAAAGTTCGTCGCAAGTCAACTTTTCAGCGTACTACGAAAGTACTAACCAATCAACATTCACAAAATTTTGAAATTTAAAAACTTTTTGATACGTTTCGCTACAGTACGCTTGAAGTGGAAAACCGGCTTTATTCATTTAATCATTTATTCGTTCGTTCGTTCGCTCGCTCGTTCGTTTGTTATCTTATTTGTTTATGTTATTCATTTGGTCATCCACATATTATTCAGTCAATTATCTTAAAAACCATAGTAAATATATTACATATAGTATAAAACATAGCCGACATAAACTGACTTAAACATTTTTGTCCTTACAGTTCATTTTACCTCCTAAATTGAAATCACTTCTTTATGTTTACTTGAAAATTAATTTTGAATATTTAATATTTTACTTTTAGAATGCTAATGGTAGGTTTAGCAATGTACAGGTGGTTTACAGCATTTGCGTTCGTATTGTATCAGATATACAACCTCGTTCCAAAAGCCGGGGATGTATATTTAGTAAAACACGAAAGCGAATGATGTGCTGTATATACTGCAGGTAGCATTCAGCAACATAGTGAGACAAGCAAGAAGCAGATTTAAGTTAGGTCCAGAAACTTTACATAGAATAAACAGGCTGCGAATATAAAAGGTCACCAAATTTATTGAGATTATTACTCCGGGTACTGTAAATACCGGAGTATTAAAATGTCAGATCTTTTTTCTTAGGCGACACAAGTGTGCACTTCCACAGGTGCACCGTACGCAACGCACTACAAAAATACGAAATATCTAAAAATAGCCGCCATTCGTGGTAGATCAGAACGAGCGTTGTGTTTACAATGTATTTAGTTATATTTACAGTAAATATTATCAAATGGAGGGGTTCTCATACACTCGTTTTTATACAGTGACCACAGTTCATTTTAATACAAATCGAAATTCGAGACTTTATCGCGTGTTTAGTAGCGGTTACCGTTATTGCAAAGCTAATTCTGATCGACAACTGGCTTGGTTTGTTACTGACGTTAGCTCGGTATTTTTTAATTTTGTCAACACTGTACGTAGTTAAATTGTGTTAACACTCATCACTCGTGTTCTTTAAGTCTCCCTTTGTGCCTCGTGGCCAAAATTGAAGTACAAACAACGCACAAATCTATTCGACATATGATATGACATATCTGAAAGTCTTCGATTCGCGAGGCAATTTATATCGCAAACCACAACAATATTGGCAATATTGTCTACCACGCTTGAATTAGACAAAAGCGCATATAATATATATATAACTAGATAGCTTTACCCAACACTATTATGTCTATTACACAGTTTAATGTTTTATTTATAGAGTATTAAAAATCGGTCTCGACAGCTGCATTGTCTTGGTCTTAAAGTAAATCATTACGAGGATGCTTAAAAACAATCTAAACGTTTGATAATAACAAACTTACAGAAGCCTTACAAATTAAAACAATCAATCTGTATAAACAAAATATCAACATAACTTAATTATGAGTTATGGTGCCAGTTATGAACTTACTACCATCCATTGAAAGTGTTGACAATTAACTATATGACACGACTAAGGGACGGACCATTAGAAAAGTGATGGGGGGCAAAACCAAAAAAAAAATTTATTCCCAGAAAAAAATGGAAAAAAAAACTTTCAAGGCATAGTGCAAAAAAAAAAAATTCCTTGCTTAGAAGATAGGCTAAGTGGTGTACTGGAGGGAGGGCTCAGGGGAGCTGAGCCCCCCTTGTTGAAATTTCATGTTGACTTGGGGGGCTGCACGTTGGTCAAATTTAGCAAAATTTCTCCCACTCGTGCGGGTTCGTATTGACAGCGGACATCTTACAGAAAGTGGCCAGTTCTTTGAAAATGCAAAAGTTTCAATTTTACACCGCAAGTCCACTGACAATATGAGCCTGCGATCCTGGGAGAAAATTTGCTGAATGTGACCAGCGTGCTGAGCCCCCCAATATTATGGCACGTTGCATAATTGATAATCTTAACAATGTGCGAAAACACACACAAAAAAATACCAGTAAACGAGAATGTTCTTTAGAATTGCATCTCATTTTCACTCATCATTTAACACAATGATTTTTGTAATCTTTATATCGCCATTTTTGTAATCTTTATATCATTTAGTACCACTAAATTGTAAATTTCGACATACTAAAACGCTGTTTTCTGACCATCAGAATTCTGTCAAATCTTCCCCAAAGTCGAGGAAATGGCATTTCAGAGACTCTAAATTTAAAAATTTCCTCAGGCCTTCGGCCCTCGCTTCGGCTTGTTTTTAATAAGAATAATGTCAAATGTTTGTCCCAGAATTACTAGAATAAACCCCAACAAAATTTAGAATTTCTAAAATATCTTATTGTACCTCCCCTCCCCTCCCGCCAATTCAGGGCACTTTGGAGAGCCCCCCTTGTCAACATTCCAGGACTACACCACTAATAGGCCTATAAATTTCACTTAAAGGGCCCTACAGTCATTTTTTAGCCGAAAGCCACCTTAAGTAGGGGACTCCACGGAGATTCGTTTGGCTGTATCTTACATGCAGTATCCATGAGTATGAGTACTTTCGCACACAGAAAACGCATGCATACTGTGGTGCGCATGTCAAGTAGCGACAATAACAAAAAATGTAAACAATACTTACTTGACTAAAAAATTACTGTAGGGCCCTTTAAAAAAAATATTTCCAACCATCAAGTGAGAAAAAAAATATATTTCTTCTATAGGTGTACAAAAAAATATATATTGCCTCTTAGAAAATCCCCCATCACTTTTCTAATGGTCCGTCCCTAACAATATATTACTTTTTAAATAATTTTCTTTGCGGCGTGTTTGATAAATGTGGTTTATTTATGTTAGCTATATTTTTAGTAATTCAGTTTCAGGAGTTCTTCTCGAGGGTGGGAAGCGAGGGTCGAAAAATCATATATAAAAAGTCGAGGGTCATATATAAAAAGTCCGGGGTCGTATTTCTAAAATATTTTATGGTTTTTATTGTCGAGGGTAGAAATTTGCGGGCATTCCCTATAGATAAATTTGCAAGTGGGACAAGCACAATAGCGAAAACAATACTTTGAAGATGGCGTTGCGAACCCGGAAAAGGCATACGGCAATGGAAAGGTGTAAACAGTCCTGATTACTCTGATTCAATAGACCATATAGTGAATAGACTGATACAATAATTTGCGACATGCAATCCGAGATAATGCAGATAATGCACCACGTCGTTTGAAACTATCTCGACTGTAGCTTTTGATCGGCATGTCTATTTTTATGTAGTAATATTTTGTCATATAAAAAGTAATCGCATATAAAAAATTAATAATTGCATATAAAAATAAGAGCTAAAAATTAAAAGTAAAGTAAGTGAACACAAACTTAAATTATTATTTTGTTAAATTATTAAAATGTACCCTCAAGCTTTTCACCCTCGAATTTCTACCCTCGACAATAAAAAAACCCGGTAAAATATTAGTGTAAAATACGGCCTCTGACTTATTATATACGACTCGAAAAAACACTCCTACGCATGTTTTAAATAGAACTTTTAATAAAGAACTAGATAGGTTTTATTAGAGATAATCAGGGTCACAATGTCCTTTTATTTTTATGTTATGTTATTTATTTATTTATTTATCAGCTTTATTGGACAAATATAGTAGAAACATTTACACGTTTAAGTCCAAAGGGGATAGCGCAAACGGGACAACGAGACCCATGCTAGGCGCACCCCCTCCAAAAAAAGAAGGAAAAAAAAAACCCAACCTAATTCACTATATACAAATATATATTACATAACATGCATATTAAGAACGGTGGCAGGAGCAGTCTCTTGTGAGCGACCAAGTGCATGCCATATCAACATTAAAAGTACTGTTGACCAATGCGGTGTATGTCACATGCAGAAAGCTTTTAAAAATTGTTAAACTGGCGAACTTTTCAGGAGAGGCTATTTTTCCAACATTATTCCAAGTTTTAACTATTCGGTTAAAGAACGATCCTTGGAAAGTGGATGTTATAAAATATTATGATCATTGCATATGTTTTTAGTCACCGGGTCAAGTGGTACACTGTAGTTCTCCCACTTTTCCAACTTTAATATGCTAAATATCATGCATTAAAGATACCTCCATTGCCGTATATAAGCATACGTTAAAGTAGCTTTGCGCTTAGTTAAGGCCCTGTACCCGGAGTGAACGCCTGAGTAGGCGTCTTGTTAAATATTGTTCATGGAGATGTTTTATAGTAAATAGATTTTGTTAAAACTCTGTACGTCCGTATAAATTGCTTGCTGTTTCTGTCCTTCCCACGATTTCTTATTATTACAACAGAGCCTGGCCAGGCACTATTTGCTATTTGGGTCAAATTATTACTGACGCCAGTCGAAACAATCTAAGCTACACTGTTTTTGACCAATCAAATTGCATGAAACACAGGCGACTTCAAAATGAATATAATGAATGGGACACTAAATGCGACATGTGGCGCAGGGCCCAGTATAGATATAGTTGTAGCAGTAAGTATCAGAGGTTTTACTTCGTTTCCTTTAACATTAACCCATTAACGTTCAAGACTCTTCCCTTGACAAGTAAAATCGTTTGGCATTAGACAGAGTAAATACCAAAGTAAGGCACATGGGGGCGAATTAAAGAAAGGGTTGACAGGACATAATGGCAGATACTAATGAATGGGATCCTAAATGCGATATGTGGTGCAGGGCCCAGTATAGATATAGAG